CATGACATGGCATCATGTGTCTGTCATGACACTCTCAGTACAGCTATTTTCAGTCATGAAACGTGTGCTGCTTAGTGTCTAGTTTGGGATTGAAGGGATATAGTGAGGTGTGTTGATACTGTTTTACAGCACACAAGTCACCTGGATGCTAGCACAGAGACAGCAGCAAGAGGAGGTGGCCAGACAGCAGCAGGAGAGAGCTATGAACTACGCCAAATTAAGGAGCAACCTTCAGCATGCCATGTAAGATAAATCACTCTCAAAATTTTACTTTACACTGCTTTCTTTTTTAAACAAGTCCAGCGGTCAAATGCCATTTAAATGTTGTTGGTTTGCAAATGCTTGCAGTCGTCGAGGAACTGGCCTGATGGAGGATGATGAGGAACCCATTGTGGAAGATGTGATGATGTCATCGGAAGGCCGGATTGAGGATCTCAATGAAGGCATGGACTTTGACACCATGGATATTGATCTGGTAATAAGCTTAAGCTAAATTCCAATTGTATTTATGATTTTGGTCTCTAGGACTAGGTTGTTTTGTCTAAATGATTACATAGTAATTGAGGTTTGGGGTCGATAAAGACTTTTAATGTATCTGAAAGAAGTATCTTGCCCAGTCACAGCAGTAATATTGTGAAATAGTATTACTATTTAAAATAACTTTTTTTTTTTTTATGATGTAATTTATTCTTGTGATGGCAAAGCTGATTTTTCAGCAGCCATTACTCCACTCTTCAGTGTCACATGATCCTTCAGAAATCACAGGGTTTCTGTTGTTCTTAAAGTCTTAATTCAGCCTTCTGCAAATTAAGGCCATAGAAGGGTCTTAAATCAGAGCAGAAAGTCTTAAATTCATATAGTGACATTAAATGTTGCATGTGCTGCATAAGAATATAATAATGAAAATCTTCCTCAGTATTTTTGTTTTGTTTTCCCATACAATTATCTGAACATCCTAAAATAAAAATACATGTTCTTGCATACACGTTTAGAAAATGTGAAGTCTTGTTTATGGACTAGTTTATGCTTAAAACAAGAACAAATGTGTGTCATTGAGGTATTAAAACTAGATTTTCGCTTCGATTTTTGAACTAAGCCTGTTGACAGATATTTGTAATCATAGATAAACATAAAATCGGTTTATTTAGATTTTTTTTTCTCTGAAAACAAGACATCTAATGTCATTTTGTTTCTCCAGTAAATGCATCTTGATTTAAGAATCTTTAGACTATTGCACTGGAAAACAAGATAAAAATACTGAGGAAGAACATTGTGGTTGGGAGAAGGGATATTGAAGTAATTTAAAATGTAATGGAGATCTTGTTGGAAGTTGTTTTTTCAAACTCTGAAAGTGTTGCTAATACAACTCATTGTGTTTCTCCCTAGACATTTTCTTTTAGAAAACATATTGGCGTATTGTGTTCCATTCAGTTTATTCCTTAAATTTTCTTTACTTGGTCTTAAAGGTTTTGAAAAAAATAAACCTTGAATCATTCTAATATGCTAATTTGGTGCTCAAGAAACAGTTCTTATAATTTTCAAAAACTGTTGAAAACAGTTGTGCTGCTTAATGCTTTTCTTATTCTTTTTTTAGTCACAATTCTTTAATGAAAGTTTAAAAGAACAGCATTTACTTGAAACTAGAAATTATTTGTAAGATTATAAATGTCTTTAATGTCACTCAATATAATGCATCTTGGCTGAAAAAAGTATTCATTTCTTTCAAAACAAAACTTTTGAACTTGTTGTTTATGTGTACAGTATGTGATAGATTTAATACACATTAAATAACTATTACCGTCACATTTGATAACTAAATAAATGCCACTTCTTTTTGCACATCTTATCCTTATTGTCTGCTCTTTCGTGTCTTGCAGCCCCCATCGAAGAATCGGCGAGAGCGATCGGAACTGAAGCCCGACTTTTTCGACCCCGCCTCCATCATGGATGAGTCTGTAAGAAGCACTCATTTCCTGGGTTATGATGCTTTTCAGCGGTAATGGGGGACTCGTTCACTCCGACACTAAGGACGTGAAAGAGAGATCACCACTAGATGGCACTAGCAGGAGTGATTTCAGATAGTTTGAATTGCCCTTGTGCAAAAAGACAGAGAGGGGGAGAGCATCTCGCTATTATAAATACTAATCAGACCCATCTGGACTGGTGATTGAATGAAACGTTTGTTTGGTAACTCTAAACACTGAACTGAATTTGAACATTTTCTCTTGTAGGTCCTGGGAGTGCCCATGTTTTAAGATTATAATTGGAGGAGTGTGAAGAGAAGAGACATTTTGTGTGAATTCACATTGATTCTCTAAAGAGAATTAAATTCAATGGAGTGATTGGCATCCAAATCAGCTTGTACCATTGACACTTACTAAAACAGAAAGGATAAAGGAGCAATTCAAAGTCTTTGCAATCATTGTGTGGGCTTTCCCTGATCGTGCGAAACCGTGACCGTAGATACTGAACGCCATGGAATCTCGGACTGTCCTTTGCCATACATGAGTATATGAGATATAAATATATATATAAATATATATATAAAAATATTTCACAGTTGAACGTCATCATGTTTAAAGAAACATATGTGAGATCTCTTAGAGTTGTGGTATTTCTTGAAGCCAGGGGTGAATGCATCTTTTTTAACTTAAAGACAACTTTGTTATGTATAGCCCTTTTGTAATAGTGAGTAATCTGGTGTAAAGTAGTAATTTATAAGCAGGTTTTTGCTCATCATAGTGAGTATTGATATATTTTATTCTTCCTATCTAATATGTGAAATGGAGGAAAAACCTCCAGGTCTTTATATCTAGAATTTAGTTTCCTTTTATTCCACCTTCAAAAATCATGACATAACACAAACCCTAAATCAAAACACTCTGAGCTGATTTATTACTGCCTTTGGTGCATTTGTGAAGTTTGGGGCAATTTCAGTGACATGATCAGTGATTGGTGTATGTATGTTAAATATCTCAACCATTCAGTGGCCCTGTTGCTCTCTTTGCCCCAACAAAACTGTTTTTATGTGCCAACTGCTCTAGTAAATCAGGCACTTAGAATCACAGCCAGTCTGTGAAGATGCACAGAAAGGACTATAATTCTTCCGCAGAGTCACAAGGCTTATCCAAAGATCAGATCTGCTCGCATGTCCCTCTAAAATCAAGCAAAGAAGAGGAAATCTCTCCAGTAGTGCCATTGTGTTGTCTCTAATAAAACAGAACTTAGTGTAGTATGTCTGGTGGAGATATTCTTCTCCCTGATTAGAGCTATGTAGACATCTACATTTAAATAAAGGTATATATAAATATATAAATTGGTGCTGATTTTATATTTGTGCTTTTTTTTTTTTTTTTTTTTTTTTTTTTTTTTTTTTTTTTACTCCAACTTAAGAGTTAAAAGGTTTTGAAATGTATAAGAACATGCCTAAACATGAAAGTGTGTAGCCATGCAGCAAGTAAAGTTTTGAGATTTTTATTTTATTTTTCCTCCTTTTGTGTGTGTGAATTTTTTTTTTTTTTTTTTTTTTTTTCAGTCTTAAGAAGTTTTTTAGGTTTCACCTTTTTCCTAATTGTAAATTAGTTTGGTTGCAATTCATGGACAGAACTATTTTATTCAGCTCTGATTTTGTTTTTCCCCATATGAAATATTCAAAATGTAACAATAACGTCCTATGAGATCCTAAATGTTACAGCATTGCGTTCGGCAGCTCTACACAGCTTAACTAATACATGAACTTATATTGCAGACATGTGCGTTTTGTCTGGGGTATACTTTTTAATCATTCCATGCCTTGGCCTTAAAATGTCCTTGTTTTAAAAAGGAAAAGAAGGTGGTTGTCAAACATAAATCTTCCATGTTGAAACTTTTATGTGAGGTACATTGGATTCCTTTCGTATCAGAAAAGGATCAGTGCATTTCTGAAATGGCATGAGTGTAATTATTTAAAAGGTGTGCAGACAGATTTTGAAGTTATGAAAGTAAATGCCCTTCGGCTTAAACTGTCTTCTGTTCCTCACCACTACATTCATTGAACTGCTGAATAGATTGTGTAAATATACATGCATTTAAACGTAAAGCTTAATTTTCTAGTGCTTTTTTCTGTTAACATTTTAAACATATTATTATCACTTTTCCCTGTTCAGAGATATAAACTCATACATAACCGTTTCCCTGTCCTCTGTTATCCACTGTAATGTTTCTGATTTGTATCTGTCTGGAGACAGTAAGTTTTTGAATAAAAGTAAACAAATCTTTCTTGTGTATTTGTGTGATTTTACAGTATTCTTTTTTTGCCCGATGCTTTTACTGACTCACTTACAAATGAGGAAAGTCACACGCAGATATTCTGTTTTCCACAGTATATTTTGAAATTCATTCTCTAAGTATGTTTTTTAATAAAAGTACATATTTAGCACATGTACTCTACTTTTGTTAAGAAAGACACTTATACTTAAAGTTGATCATTGCATCTATGAATATTTACTACAGTTACTACAGCTGTTAATCCAATAAAAACAGCCATCAGGAGGAGACACAAATATGAGCCCAGTAAACTTGTAGGTCACACGTCAGAGATAATTTAGCTGTATTCAAGTATCTGACTCTAAATCGCATGAACGTGCAGTTTTTTTGTTTGTTTGTTTTTTAATGTTTTTTTGAACATTCAGTTTACAGTGAAGAACAATAAACGCAACAAGTATTAAAAATTACAGAAATATAAAGAATAGTTAAAGAAAACACTTTAACACCATAGCTCACAACAAAAAACAACTAGACGGTAACTAAAAACAGGAGAATGAAAAGAAAGAAAGAGGGCATTACACTCTTTGAATTTCGGGAGAACGCTGCGTTACCAGATGTTACGTAAAGCACGATGTCGTTACTGATTGGTTGACATTTCTGTTCGTCGCATATTCTTCAATTTCATTGGATAATGTCGTTTGGCAGGATCTTTTGGGCGGGGTTACCATTTCAAAATTTCAGCGGGTGTGAACGAGTTGTTGACGGACGCTCCATGAAATTGAAATTTTATCGCTAAAGTTTAAACAGTTAAACAATTTAAGTACGTTTTTCAACAGGCTTTGGGCTTTCGACCATTCATATCGGTCATGTCTTTCTCAAGAGCTCCATTAAAGAGATTTAACGAGAATGTTGGTAAGTTTCATACGTCTGTTCCATTATTCTACGAATCGATGTGAATGAAGTTGAATGCAGTTAACTTATGTGCTTTAAACAGTTGAATTATTAATACATGTGATTTTAATGAAAGTACCTGATTAGTTCTCACTTTCATGCTCAGCTTTATAATTTAATACCGTTTTCTTTGTTAAGCGTCTGTTTTCTTGCGGCTGCGATCGATCTATTTTGCCAGACTATCAACACAAAGTTTATTTATCAATTGCACTACGGTAACTTTACGGTAACTTTTTGATCTTTGGTATTTTGTATCCTTAGGTTGTGCTCCTCCACCTGGTACATATGAGGTGAAGTCTGGTGAGCTGAAGGGAGCTGTTTCATTTCATAAAGCAGAGCGCTTCAGAACTGCTTCCAAAAGTGAGAGCAGTTTTTCTTGAACCATAACATTTTCCATTCTGAACCTTAAAGGGATAGTTCACCCAAAAAGGAAAATTCTGTCATCATTGACTCACCCTCATGTCGTTTCAAACCTGTAAGACTTTTGATCATCTTCGGAACACAAATGAAGATCTTTTTGATGAAATCTTTCTGTCCCTCCATAGACAACTAACTTAGGCCTATGCAACTACCACTTTGACGCTTCAAAAAGTTCATAAAGAGATCGTAAAACTAATCTATATGAATAGTCAAAAAAATTCTGAAGATACACGATCGCTTTATATGACTAACAGGTTGAATTTAGGCTTTTATCACATATAAACATTCATTAACTCACACATCAGTTGTGGTAAACGGAACCATGTTCAAGCATGTTCGCTTGACGTGCAAGAATCAATGAGGTTCATTCTCGTGTGTTACGCAGCACGCTTGAGCTTCCGCAAGAGGTTTGTTCTTGCTTGTCAAGCAGGTTCGGTTGAGATTCTTTTTGTTTGCTGATCAATGTTTGTAATAAAAGCCTAAATTGAATCTGTTCATCATATTATAAAGCGATCGAGTCTCTTCAGATAATTTGCACTAAACCGCTTAATTCATATGGATTAGTTTTACGATCTCTTTATGAACTTTTTGAAGCATCAAAAGTGGTAGTTGCAATGCTGTCAAAGGAGGGACAGAAATCTCTCATATTTCATCAAAGATGTTCATTTGTGTTCCAAAGATGATCGAAAGTGAAAATGAGTCTGAGTAATTAATGACAGAATTTTCGATTTTGGGTGAACTATCCCTTTAATAATAAGAAACATTGATAAATTTATTTAAACTTTTATTTTATTTTATGCTGATCAGCAGAGGCACCCCTGCCATCCCCTTCAAAAGAAGTACCCATGTCTCCAGTTCGGAGGACCATGTCTGTTGATGGTTTGGTAAGATCTGAATTTGTAATTATTTGCTAGTGGTCAACCATACTGAAGTATTACTTTAATAAAGATGTACACCTTCTATTCCATGCTCTTTTTTTATTTATATACAGAACAAAAAGGATTTTATCCATATAATGAAAGTCGCTAGTCCAAAACAACATGCACACACTTGACATTCATTGCATGGACAAATATACTGAGACATTTCTCAAAATATAATTTCTGTTTCACAGAAGAAAGTCATACAGGTTAAGAAAGAATACAGGTTGGAAACTAGTAAATGAAGACATCATTTTTTTTTTTTGTCTGAACTATCCTTTTTAAAATTACTGTATTGTAATGTAACTATTGTTCCTGTGTTTGACTTATTAGACTTATTGTTTTGTACTTTGGAAAATACTTCTTTTTTTTTCTTTGTGGAAACTTTTAGTATAACATGGAGGTAAAAAATGATTATGTATTTGCAGGATAATGTTGGTCATTATCGCAAAACAAACCCCTACTCATTTTAAACAAAACATTAAAAAAAAATTGACGTGTTTAGATTAGATAATTGATTTAATTAAAAAAAGTCACCCTCAAGTTGTTCCAAACCTGTATGAATTTCTTTCTTCTGCTGAACACAAAAGAAGATATTTTGAAGAATGTGGGTAACCAAACAATTGATGGGCCTCATTGACTTCCATGGTATTTTATTTTTTTCTCCATACTAAGGAAGTCAATGGGGCCCATCAACTGTCTGGTTATCCACATTCTTCAAAGTATCATCTTTTGTGTTCAGCAGAAGAAATAAATTCATACAGGGTTGGAACAACTTAAGGCTGACACATTATTTGAAGACTTTTTAAATATCTTAAAAATGTAAAACTTTGATTTGGGTGAGCTAATAGGGTCAGTTCCCTTTTTAGTTCCCACCAAAGTGTCTAAAAACAGACAATTTGTCATTCAATTGAATATCTACCTGTATATCAGTCAATAGTATTTGCTGTGCTGTTTTGCTATTTGCTTTTTTTTCTCATATAGGCATTAAGTTCCAAAAAGGACAAAAATAGTTTCACACTTGAGATGAAACATCAGAGACTTCTGGAGAAAGAGGTAGATTTCAAAATGTTTTGAACATTTCCTGGATGGCCATTTGTTGCTTTGAGGCCTGATCAATTTCTTTGGCCTTTTCTCCTAACCTTGACTGTCACTTCTAATGCTGGAGTATAGATCCGATCTTTGGTGCAGCAGAGAGGAGAGCAGGACCGCAGGCTGCTGACCCTGGAGGAAGAGCTGAAGAAGTTGGAGTCTAAATTGCTCGTGGCTGTCAGAGAGAAGACTGGCCTTGCTGCCAATGTGGCTTCTCTCGAGAGGCAGCTTGCAGAGTTAAAGAAAGTTAATGAGTTCCTGAAGACCAAGGTGACTAGTCTTTTTTTACCAGGGTGTTTTGCAATCTCCGTTTCTTAAGTGTTGTTTTGTAGACTGCTTCAAGTTTACTGAGGAATGTCTTGGCACTTTAATTTTCGCAGGTCTCTGCGGATACCACCAAGAAGAAGATCAATTCTCTTTCCATGGAGCTCATTGAGGCCAAAAATAAACTGGATGCCAAAGACAAGGTAAGTTCCCTCAAGTCACTTTATGGAGAGGAGTTTGTGTAACTTCAAGTTGCTCAGTGTAATTGTGGGCTTGTGCTTTTTGAACAGGAGCTGAGCTTCCTACAGATCAGCTCAGAGGGGAAAGTAAAGGTCTTGGAAACGGATCTGGAGACTGCCAGAACAACTTTTAGAGTTCTTCAGGAAAGGAACCAGGATCTTGGTGAGGATTAATAATGGATATTTGATAATGGATATTTTTAGATCAGTCGCATTTTATAGAATCTATCTGACAGATATTCAGTGCGTCTAAGCAGAAGTCATACCATGTTCAAAACAGAATACTAACATATCTACTATTTACAGCATCTACTATTCAAATAAAGTGAAACGATATTATTTCAGTGTTTCCAACAGTATTCTGCATGACCTCATCACATTGCTTTTTTAAATTAGCGAGTGGTGGTTAGTTATCGTAAAAATTAAAATCATGCAAAATAACTACTGGTAATTCCATGTAAAAATGTCAACATTAAAGAGTTGAAGATGGTAAAAGGTCGTAGTTAATATTTACTTTTCGTCAATCACACTTGCAGATGGAAGTGTTAGGGAATTTACAGTTAAAGACCAGGGACCAGATATGATTAATTAAAGCAGTGGTCACCAACCTTTTCAAGCCTAAGATCACATCCCAAGTCCAAATGTAAACCAAGATCTACCACTTGCAGAAAATTATGAAAAACAAGCCACAATGTAGTTCTACTTTGACATTCTTTGTTGCCTGTTAGTCACTAGCAAAATATTTATTTAACTATACAAATAGTATATAACTATACAAACTGTCAACTATAATTCAACATTTTCAACAGTAATATAACATTGTTAAGTATATATCCACAGGCTTATTACTCATATATAAACAAAATAATCATTCAATTACAGGCCTAAGCCAATAATGTACTGTTTCATTTTCCCTTTTAAAACATAGGCTATTTCAAATCAAAATGGTAAGTGCAACTAGCATACAAAATATTATGACAACAGTCATCCTTCAATTCTTCAAAAATATTTTCACACAAATTACAGACCTACTATTCATTACCTCAATAATCAATCAATTACAGGCCTAAAACAGTCATGTACAGCACTGATTCTCTTTCCCTTTTCCAACAACATAAAACACAGATCTCCTTTTAACAATAGCCAATACAGGTTTTTTCCTGGCTCAAAATGAGGCGGAGGTGGTAAAATCGTAACACTGGGGGTCCAGTGTTAAAAATGTGTACATTTTAAAGATAAATTCATTAATCTGGTGCACTTTGAGTCACTCGAATCTGTTGTTAAAAATAAAAAATAATCCACCCGCCAACCACCCATATTCTTTGATTTAGATATCTGCATCTGATCATCACATTACAATTATTCAATTAAGCATGATAATATGGTAACATATCACACAATTAACATTTATTTAAATTAAAAGTTCTTCTTTTGGCAAAATTACATTTCCTTTATAGCCTAAACAGAGGCTTTAGCCTACTACCTTTAAACTTAAATGGTCAATGTTTCATTTTTGAAAACACTCTTATCGGAATAATTTTTTGTACCTTTATAAAGGGCATTTTCCCCCTAATTTTATTTAATGTACTGGTATGCTCTAAATTTCATTTCAAATTCTTACATTTTATCAATACATTCAATTAAAATAATAAGACAAGGCTGTTACCAATCAAATTAAATAATTTACATTGAAAAATTATAACTGTGTTAAATGAGATTATGAGATTGTTTTGAATATTTTTTGAATATACAAATAAGGAATGTTGAAAAGAAATTAAAGAATGATACTTTGAAACTAAACCGCCAGTAGGAGGCGGCAGGCGGCCGTCTTAATGAGCGAGTCATTGAGTCATTCATTCAAACGATTCGTTCAAACGGCTGATTGATTCAGAATGAGGCGGTTTAATAATGGGTAACGTTAATTGAATCTTTGACTCGAGCGATTAGGTCAAAACGCTGAATCATTCAGTAATGAATCATGGATGAGTGTTGCTGTGAGATGCGCTGGTTCTGTTGTTTGGAACTATTTTCGCTGCTGAAACAGAACAAAAACAGTAATTGCGTCTAAAAATGTAAGTAACTTAATTTTAACTATTTGTTTATTGAACTGTTATGAAATCAATATCTTGGTTTCAATCGTGCTTGCATTCAGGAAAACAGCACTCTGGTCGTGTAGTCTATAACGTTATATTGTTTCTTAACTATAAATTTGACGGAGGCGACCGCCTCATAATTGTCTATGCAGGGAAACCCCTGCAGATTTCAAACTAGCAATAGCCTACTCCCTCACCGTTGTGCCATCGTTTCGTTAGCTTGCGTATCATTAGCTTGAAGAGCTTGATGTGAGCGTAGTGTGAAGTGGCTGAGCTGGTTAAAGCCTGAAGCCTTGTTTATACTCGACGCGTCCGCATGAGGCAAAAATGACGTCATTGTAACGGCGCGCGCGCCTCCGCATCCCCTAGACACCATTTACTACACACAGTAGGCTCACACATGGTGCATTTTTAATTAATAAATAATAATGAATACAAATATTGGTGTTTTTTCTCTGATTTTGAAAACTCTTCGCGATCGACTTAAAATGCTTCCAAGATCGACGGGTTGGTGACTCCTGAATTAAAGCAACACTAAGTAAGAATTTTTACCTTAAAATAATGTTTTCAAAATCGTTTCAGTGGTTCATCAAGTCGTGACATGGTGAAATGCACTTATGCCACCGCTTTGCGGTCCTTTATCTGATATATCCGTGCTATGTAAGATTGCCAGATCGGGTCGCGTTTCTGTAGACCTAAGAAAACTACAAATTTGACTTGCTTTACGGCAAGCATTACAATTGCCGATAGGTGGAGCGTACTCGACAGTAGACTACAACTACACTTTCATAAAATCATGCATCATACTCTACCTTGTCTGTGGCCATTGTTGATTCCAAAGCCGGTGCTGGATAAACAGAGCATGTGCGTGCGTGTGCGACAGGAGGATGCGGTAGGCTAAATTATTTATGACAGCGGTAATGGACAATTCCGCTTCCAACCTGTAGGGAAAAGTTGCTTGGTGTTGCTTTAAGACCTGGAGTAAGAAGTGCAGTCAATTGAAGATTTTTTTTTACTGAAGATAGTTTGCCATTTCATCAGGCAGATGTCAGCTTCAAGACTCACAAGGAGTTCGTTGGCCGCCCCGTTTACAGTTACAAAGATCACAGCAATTATACCCTTCACCAAGGTCTAAGCTACGTCCTTGCTTCAGGTTGAATGATTCTGATTGGCTAAGAAATGGATAAACATAGTAAATTTCCACATGGACTGATAGACTAAAGCATATCTCCATCGATTAGGCAGCTGACACTCGGACCCTGAAGTTAGGCACATGACCTTCCAGGTCGCAGATTTGGCTTGCTGGGCGCCAGCCTGTCCCGAACAACAAGTCAGTCAATCCTCAATAATGCCAGTTATTCCTTAACCTGTAACCAAGAAGACTAACACACACACCGACACACGCTTCTTCAAGGTTGGATTGGCCAGGCTCTAACTATAAACAGGAGAGTCTTCTCAAAACATCAAGATACCATGTTCTTTCTCTCAATGAGGACACTTTAATGTAAATGGAAAGTAAGGCTTTAACACATGTTGAAGACCTTTCTCAAACACAAAACAAGTCCATATTTAATTTCTGGAAGCTGGGCTAAATGAGCAAGCACTGCTACTGCATTCCTGACATGGGCCAGACCCTTCAGTCACCTCTCAAATATTTCATACATATGTTTAACTTAAAGAATGCATGAAAGAACATTTTCGATAATCACACTGGTAACTTCTATAACAAAGTAAAATCTCATAAGCCTACAGAAGTCATTCAACTTATGGGATATTTAGAAGGAAAAATATTGATTAATATCTTGATTATAATCATATATATATATATATATATATAAGTAGCAGTGGAACAGGAATGTATCAGTGTTTTGTTTTCACAAAAATATTAAGCACCACAACTGCAGCCTTAGACTTTTCAAAAACATTAAACATTTTACTGACCCCAAACTTTTTTACATTTGTGTTATTTTGTTTAGAAGTAAAATGGTACAGTGAGGCATGTAACCATACAGTGGCATTTTAGAAGCTTCTGACTTGTAAACCAGTAAAGTGGTTTAGAAACTATTTATTGGTTCAAATGACTCATTAAAGTTTAGTTTCAAATCAGATATCATAAGTGACTAGAAGCTAACATTTTTGCTTCTTACTAAACCTTGTGTTTTAGAGGATCTTCATCAGGAAACAAGAGCCCAGAATGAGCAGATTGAGAATGAAATGGATAAATTGCACAGTAAGTTTGCAAGCTAAGAAAAAACAGTTTGATTTATGATGTCTTTTGGGTTGGCTACATCTGACTTTTTAAGAAAAAAACAGTTTGATTTATGATGTCTTTTGGGTTGGCTACATCTGACTTTTTTTCTATCTTCTTCAAATGAAGACATAATCCAGGAGCTGAGGGAGGAGATAAAAGCCCTGCAGAGTTACTTGGATTCTGCAAATGAAGAGATTCAGGTATTGGTTTTGGTCAACAGAATTTGACTCTTAAGCCAGTTGACATTTACTCACCGCTTAGGTTGAATCATCAGTCTTTGAAGTGGTGCTTGGTTTGAGATAAGGTGTCTGTCTCAAAGGATTTGCGGATTAAGCTCCAGGACAAATCCACCATGGAGCGCCGTGTCTCTGATGCTCAAGACAACCTCAGGTTAGAACTCTGTGCATTTTCATTTTGTTGCTGTTGTTATGGTATCAGTGTTCACTTCTTCATTTGTCTCTACGCGGCCTGTGCAGTGAAGTGGAACAGAAGTTGGAGAAATGTACCGGTGAGCTGCAGGACTGTCAGGAGGTGCTGAAAGTTAAGGAAGAGGAGCTGCGGATTTCTCAGCAGGAGCTGCAGGACTCCCAGAAGGCTCTAGAAGAGAAGGAAAGTGAGCTGGAGCGCCACTTGCAGGATCTACAGGCCTCGCAGACCTCGCTGAAAGAGCTAGAGGAGCAGATGCAGCGAGGAGTTCAGGATCTTGAGGAGTCCCGGAGCGTGATTCGCCAGCAGGAGCAGGAACTGGCCCGAGTGAAGGAGATCTTGAGGAGGACAGAGGTAGAGCTGGATCAGCGTGTGGCGCTCATGGGCGAGAGATGCTTGGTGCTGGAGGATGAAAGAGGTGAATGAGCTTTAAAACTTAACTTGAGTATTTATGAAATGTGCATTATAAATAAGCACATTGTGGGATGAATTTGATCACCCCTCTTAGGATTATTTGTTTGTGATTGTGTGCAGCCAGGACACAGGAGGAGGGTCTGCGACGGGTTCAAGAGCTCAAGGCAGAGATCAATGCATTGGAGGAGAGCAGGCAGACTGAGACAGAGGCATATGAAAAGCTGAAGGAGGAGCATTCTGCACTTACCAAACAACTGGAGGAGGAGAAGGTAATTAAGAGAATGTGTAGGTGGTTTACACCAGTATTAGCTTTCGCTTTGGGTACCATTCATTTCAATGGCAGTTGCTCGATTGGCACAGGAAGTGCGTGATTTTAAAATCTTTGCTCATGGGTACTTGGTTCTGGACTCTGTTGTTTATGAGTCAATTCTCATTCTTGAGCTTTAAATGTCATGTGTCTAATCATTCTAAAAATGAAAGCTTCCAAAACTGAAAATTGTCATTTATTCATCCTCAAGTCAGTCAAACCCATAAGACTTTGATCAATGCACATGCATTAAAGGGTTAGTTCACCCAAAAATGAAAATTCTGTCAGTAATTACTCACCCTCATGTTGTTCCAACCCCGTAAGACCTTCGTTCATCATCGGAACACGAATTAAGATATTTTTGATTAAATCTGAGAGCTGAATCACTCCTCCATACTAGTCCATAGGCTTCTTCAGGGATTGAACTTGCCGGCCTCGAAAAGTTATTAAAGACATCATTAAAATAGTCCAAGTGACTACAGTGGCTCAATCTTAAGTTTATGAAGCGACGAGAATACTTTTTGTGCGCAAAAAAAAACAAAAATAACGACTTTATTTCAACTATTCATTTCCTTCTCTGTGGGCCTCGAGTTTTCGAGACCGGCAAGTTCAATCCCTGAAGAAGCCTATGGACTAGTATGGAGGAGTGATCCAGCTCTCAGATTTAATCAAAAATATCTTAATTCGTGTTCCGAAGATGAACAAAGGTCTTACGGGGTTGGAACAACATGAGGGTGAGTAAATACTGACAGAATTTTCATTTTTGGGTGAACTAACCCTTTAAGCCTTTATCAAATATGTGACCCGATATGGCGAAATGAGTCGGAAGTCGCAACGTTCTATTTTAAGATATGGGCCGATTATGTGGAAAAACAATGAAATAATAGATTATTTTTTTTGTTGCTAATTTCAAAGAACAGACATTCAAAAATAATCTCCCAAAGTTTCGTAGTCCAGATAATTGAGTAAAGGTATTTAAATTACTATTAAAGTTTACAAAGTTTTACTAAATTCGCTGGCAATGAACATTGCTTTTCTCAACTCCTCTCGTCACCTCTGAGCATTTCCCGGGTATCCCCTGAAACGTCACTATCTCTGCTCTTTAAATGGTGTTACACGTTGTATAGAACCAATCAAAAAGCTTAGAAATGTACACAAATGCTGATCATTTGTCGATGGGAAGCCGTTTCGACTGACCGGCACGCGATTGGTCCAGCCACCCTCCTGTCAGACTCTCAGCGAGCGCTCTGTGTAATAAACAAGCTAGCAGATCTCCTCAGAAAGATTAAATATTAATTTGAGAAATTTCGCTGTCAAAAGCGAGCAAAGTTGCCAAAGCGTCATCAAGCCCCCTGGCCAATTGCACACTGAGTCCGCGTTTTTTTAGTGTGTGTTTTTTCGTATTGATTCGGTGGCTCCGAATTGTCAAAACACCATTCAAACTGCTTGCTACGGATGCGAAAAACTTACGATTGTTTTTATATAACGGATGAAAGTTTCGTAGTGTGCAAGCGTGATTGACATAACGTGATTGACAAATGTGAATGAGTGTAGCTATTTATCTGCAAGGAGAATCCATTAATGTGTTTGATTAACCCAATATTTGTTGGTATCTCCGTTATGAATTTGTTACGCTGTTATTGTCAACTAGCCTACACTAAGATATTGCATAGACTAGCATTATTTGATCTCTGTTTCCTTGTCTCTCTGCCTCTCACTTTCTCTCACACACACACACACACACACACACACACACACACACACACACACACACACACACTCTCTCTCTCTCAAGCAAAAATGTAGCACCTCTGTTCTCTTTCTGATTTTAGTACATTTTTGTAAAAGGTAGGCCTACTGTTAAATTATTTATTCAAATAAAAACTTTAAAATAATTTGAGCTTCAGCCTGGTTTAATAGCATTTATATATTAATGTGTTTGGTCAAATTAAGCTGTAAAATAAATAGTTTATCCCTTTAAACGTAATGGATTTTGAAAGATATCAACAAAAAACGGGCAAAAAACTTTAAAAGCGATTTTCTCAAGTTTTCAATTGGAAAAAGAGGGCAGACGACCATAATTCAAATGTGTATATCTTTACAACCAAGGTATGACTTTGACTAGGATATCAATTGAAAGCTTATGGTCTCCTCTTTCCATTAATACCAAAATCTCAATTTTTAAATTTAGGTCACTGTGACTCATTTTGCTGGATCAGGTCACATATGGTAAACGGAGTGTGAGAACCAATGAGGTTAATTCTCACACATCAAGCGTGGTACAGTTGAGCTTCTGTTTACCACTTTTGATGAGCTTTGTGTTAGGTCTGCACGATATTGGAAAAAACTGACATTGCAATATTTTGTTTGTCTGTTTTATATATATATATATTATATTATATTATTATCAGTATTGCACGGTGCACCGATACGTCAAAAGTATCGCGTTTCTCGGAAATTAAAAACGTCACGATTCCTAAATTTATTAGTATCGATACTTCTAAGAATGACCGCGTTCCAGATTTGTAAGAGACGCATTTCATGTTGGTGTGTGCAACGCACGCTTCCAGTGCCTCCCTATGGACCTGTGTTTTTTAATCTAAATAAAGGGCTAGTAGGATTGTAAAATGTTTCGATGTGATTGATAATTAAATTTCAGGGCTCCAATTTCGGCGCGGGGATTGCGGGTATTGCGCATAATTCTAATAATTCCCACAGGTCTCCCATTTATAATGCAGGAAATTCCCGCAATCGTAATCCACACAGATTATAAAATCAAATCATTCTTTTAACAACTATCTGCCAGGCGCAATTTCACAAACAGCGTGAGTGTTCAGCGTGCCGCGTCTTCTATCTCTCCTCTCAAAATGTGTTGTGCAAGGCAAGCATCAAGCGCTGCGGCGATAATACACACTCGCGTTTAGGAGTCGGGACATGACGGAATATTCACTTGCACAATCGGGCCAGCAGTGCATCGTGACTGAAGTTTACCATTTGCACGTCTTTTTAAGTCTTACCAGTTTAAACATTCAAGCGATTTTAAACTAATCAGTGCTCGCACGCTCTCTGAGATGATTTTCTATGCGCACATTCATAGAAAATCCGCCTCAAAAACAGCTGGCCAGTAACAAAAGTTATTTTTCGCGGATTATATTGCTTTAACACGCAAAATTGTGTCAATTTCGGTCTTCGTGAGTATACTCTAGTCTAAACATAGTCGGTTTTGTCTTTTAATAAGCATAAAACGCATGCCAGTAGGCTATAATGAACACAGGATCCGTGCACTAGCTCATTAATTTAGTTGTCAAAACAACAAAATATAGCTTTAAGTTAAAGGAATCAGGATTAATAGCCTATATATATTTAATTTATTCAGGACTAAAATACTACCCAGTGTTATTTTCCATTTGATTACTTTATTCAGTTTCTGTAGGCCTATATGAAGTTAGACCCATTGAAAAACTTTTCTCTTTATTTGTCTTTATTTGTATCTTTATTCTATTGTATTTATTTGTGCTACTTTTTTCAATTTAATTAAACAGTTTAAATCAAGCTTCCTTGTGTTGTGTAAACTCTTAACAACAATATTACCCCATTGTAAAAATGCAATGAGCGCAAACATTTAGGCAAGATAAATGTAGGCCTAATTTTTGTTTGGAAAAAATGCCCCCCCCCCCCCGCCCTTCTCCCCCTCAAAAAAAAAATCCCCCCCATGAGAATCATCTAAGGGGGGATTTCCCCCCCATTTTCCAAAACGAAATTCAGGCCCTGAATTAAATTAAATATTTAATAATCAAATATAACGACTAATACAACGTGTCACCAATGCCGCCTCAGATGCGCTTGTCAGAATGTGTGACTTGTGGACACGTGCTCTTCCTGGAACAACGCACTTAAAACGGCAACTAAACCCAATGAATTCACACCGATTTAATAAAATAGTGTTCTCATGTTATGTAATATGACAGTCCCAAATTAATCCTCGTTATTAGTCGTGCATTCTGCTTGAGTGGCGCGCGCTGAATGAATAACTTAACCGTTGAGCACTTTGCTAGCACGTTATTTAACTCAAAGAAACGCATCCTATGAGATTAATCAGATATATACAAAATAAACATAATATTACAAATAATATCTGCACAAAATGACGTGAATGCACAATTGAACTTGAACTAAGTTACGTGCCATTCAGAATGACTCATGTTGTGGACGCGCTCTTCCTGGAACAACGCGACACGGCAACTAAACCCAAATAATTCACAATGTTTTATTACAATATTGTTCTCTTTATAATGTTATATAATATGACAGTCCCAATAGTCGTTATTAGTCGTGCATTGCCATTTGAGCTGCGCGCGCTAAAGATCACGCTGCGTCAATTCTTAACCAAATGCAATGACTAGGAAAACGGTTTACTAACATGCCATTTTGTGATTTATTGTGGTACTTCGAGAGGAAAAAATCAATCGTGAATAAAAGTGTGATGTGATTTATACCAGCATGAGTTGGACAATTAAGTGAAGAGTGCAACTTAATAGACTTGACTAGGTTGTACTGTGTCATCTCTCAATCAGGAAGTCAAAGTCTCCTTGATCGTCTTTGTGGATTAGGCTAATGTCTCTAAAGCTCCTCTAATGTGTGTTGCTGCAGACTCACAGCGGCTCCCTGGCTAGCATGCTTGAGCACCTGAGAAATGAGACTGAGGCAGAGAGGAGGCAGCTTGGCGAGGAGCTGGAGGATGCGCTCGAGGAGCTGTCAGAGCTGGAGAAGCAGGAGCAATGCAGTGAGAAGGCCATCCAGCATCTCACACAGAAGATCCAGACGCTGGAGCAGGAGCTGAAGAACAATTGTGCTGAGTTGGAAAAGTGAGAACTTCTTCTAATGGAGTTGAGATGAATCGCATCTCTGGTAAAAACTGACCAGTGTTGTTGTCTCCTTTGGCAGAAAGTGTGCTGAGATGCAGGCTTTAGAAGAGGGTCATGTGACTGCAATCAAAAAACTAGAAGAGGATCACAACACCTGTCTTGCCAAGCTGGGAGATGTTACTACTGACTTTGAGAGGTATTACTTTAAATACCTTTTCATTTATTTAAAGTCACCATGAAATCAAAATGAATTATTCTTATTTATTTTATTTAACATTTCTTATTATTGAAGGCAAAAATTTCATCTTTTAATATAATTTCATTATTCCATATGTATTTGTATTATTATTTTTTTATTAATATTCATAATCAGTTGTATTATCTTATGAATTATTATTTTTTTATTAATATTCATAATCAGTTGTATTATCTTATGAAGTTTAAAATGCATGAGTTAGACTATAGATTGCATGGACACATGTGTTTAAGGAACATATTTTAGACACAAGGAGGGTAGCTGGGAGGATTATGTATTCTGCTTAAAGGTATGTGTAAAATGTAATATTCACTTAGCAGAGATGTTCCAATGATGATTATACTTCAAATTCATACAGTTGGCATGCTCTTTGCAAGAAAAGGAATGTTTCAACTGATGCAAATGTACCATTTGTATACCACTAATGTATACACTGAGAAATTGTTTCTTGATGTGGAAAGTGGATTGTACCATGTGTAAGCATTAGGTATACATTCCATTTTAAAACATAAGCAATGTTTTTCTTACCTTACGAGGAAGTTGAAAGTCGCTCAGTTGTGTATTTAAGCTCAATCTTACTGTACTACAGCAGAGAAACATGGAAACGCATAGACCTGGCATGAATATAACATCTTCTCAGAGTTTCTCTCCTGACATATAAGAATAAAGATTTTTCTTGGCAAGATAACTGGTGTCCGGTCCCGTGAATCGAATAATAACGGGGAAAGGCTTAATTCCAAGTCTACAATTATAAATGATTTATTCCTTGCACATCATAACTTTTTTTATTATTATTATTTTTTTATTCATGTGCCCTTGTAATCCTTAATCTAAATAACTTCCCCTCTCTCTTGCAACAATGTCAACATCAATTATTTTCTCTGATGATGTGTTTAGCACATGAGATCGACCAATAGTAACCATCTAATCAATTCCCAAAGACAAAATCAAGTCCTGCTCTACTTTTTTTCTTTTGAGAGAAGCCGTTTCATCTCTCAATACAATAGGGAAGAACTATCACAACTTCTGTTTCATGCCAACTTTAAATACAACCATAAAGTGCTGTCTATGGAAGTTTATAATGACCCAGAAATTATTAATTGCCAATGCCCGTTAAACCATCATCAAGTGTCTTCATCAAATGTTGTTGTTTTTTGTGTGTAATTCCATAAGCACAAGACGGTCTCTGGGTGAGCAGAAGGCCAAGGCAGAGGCTCAAACCCATCAGCTGCAGGAAGAGATGAACCAACTGAAGCAACAGTTGCAGCAGGACCAGCAGAAACTCATAAGCTACCAGGAAATGCAGCGTAAAGAGCGAGAGGAGTATGCTAGGTCAGTATCCCGCCTCACAGATCTGCAGTAATTATCTGCTACACTTCCCATATACGTATGTGCAGCTCCCACATAATTGATAATGTGGTCCAAGAAATAACGTCATTATCCCAAAATAAATGAACAGGCTGATCAGGACCCCGACACAAAACAGAGGTCTTATATCATCCTGATAGGGATTCTGAAGGGGACATTTTGTGATTATGTCAGTCATTATTAATAAATGGCTAATTTACAAATCAATATTTCATGATTATTTCTTCAAATTAATTTAAATACTAAATAAAACATTATAAAATGTAAATAAATCAATTATATTAAATAGTGTTGTTATTATTTAACCCTTTGACACGTACGATCACACCGGTGTACAGTGCATCACGTGATCAACTGCTAAATTCAAATGTGCTTTCACGTGTTGCCTGGAGCTGAGCAAGAGACTTACCACGCTCAGCACTTGTCATGCATCACAAATTATTTTTATTATTATTTTTTGTTAAGCTAATATTGCTCTCCAATTACCAAACCATTTAATGGATCACTATTAAAAAAAATAGTGAACTTAAAAAAAAAATATTCCTTTATAGCTGTAGATTAAAGTGACAGAACACAATTTCAGTTTGAGCTGTCAATGTTTTTAACCCTTTGATGCATACAATCACACCGGTGTGATAAGAGCGTTTAGTGCATCACATGATCTACTGCTAAATTCAAATGTGCTTTCGCGCGTTGGCTAGAGCTGAGCCAGAGACAGACGCGCTCAGTGTTGTCATATATCATCACAACTATTCAGTGTTTTCAACCACATAATGTTTATTTTAGGTTTCAGACATTTAAATACACATGTACTAGCAAAACAACACATTTTTAGTTTGTTAAATACACACTGATGTATATAGAAGCGGCAATAATATATAATAATATAATATCCTGTATAGATATCTGTGAAGTATACTCTATTCTTTGCACATTTCACTCAGCTACTTACTTTCATGTATTTGGGGAGAAGTGGGTGAATTTACGTGTTGCAAATCTGACAGATCTGATTCTCTCAATTGCGATACAAACTAACAGTGCGGCTCGCCACGCATTACAGATCAACTAACATGATCAATTTTAAAGGTTTTTGAATGACAAAACACATTCACTTACACATATTTGTGAATCGAAATAACAAACTTGCAAATAACAAGTTTGTAAATATTTTGAGAAAAAAGGAAATAAAAGCGATACATCTGTCATACAGCACTATTGTGGCTGCGGTGTCACATTACAAGCATGTTGCGCTGGGGATCAGCTGCTGGAATATTTTAAGATTGCGTGTGAAACAATGCGTTTAACTCTCACATAACATGTGAGTTAAACAAAAAATGTAACCAATTGCTTATACAAGTTTATGCTGTTTCCACATTAATGTAGTATTTTTAAAAAATATTTGTATTAAAGGTGCACCATGTAACTTGGTAAATAAATAAAACTGCATGCGTCTTGCGGAAGAACATTTTACCTGGAGCTACTTCTCTTTATGTATATGACGAGTCACACAGGTCCCGCTCGGTCTAAAATAGTCTGAATATCAACGCTTGCTATAGGCGTTTTGTAGCTGTTCAGGATAAGACAAACAGTTTGGAAGATGGATTCATGATATACTCCCTCATTATATAAATTTTGCATTTTAATTAACTGCATTAATAATTTATAACGAGTTAAACGGCAAATATTAATCTATAACCTAACAGGTTATTTTTCCCATCACTAATAATGACACCAAGTTTAGGCTGTAAACACTGTTCTCACACCATCAAAGGTCTGTAAATATCATACTTTAGCTGTCATAGCTGTTGAAAAGTAAATGTAGACTACTGTGTTACAGGATGCTATTAGAAGTTCAGGCAAAGCTGGCTCAGAGAGAGAAAGAGTTGAAGCGAGCTGCAGAGACTCAGAGTGAGGAGCTGAGACTCCTGAAGGTGGAAGTGGAGCAGGAGAGAGAGCGGGCCCAGACTCAGCTGGAGAGAGAACAGAAGAGGAGGCAGTCAGTGGAGGGCCGTTCTGCAGAAGCCAGCAGGCTGCGGGGCCTCGTGGACGAGCTGGAAAACCAGGTTTCTGAGCTGCACGGGCAGGTGCAGGAGGAAAAAGACTCTTCTCAACGTCACGCTGTGGAGTGGCAGCAGGAGAGACGACAGCTATGCAGACAGATGGAGGAGGAAAGACAAGACTTTCACAAACAACTCGCAGAGGCTCAGCTGCAGAGGTGAGAAAGTTAGGATGCACTCAACAGGTCTCAAGTACAATATAGTGTCCTCATGTAGTCAGTCTCCGTGTGTATTGCATTGTTTTTGTTTAATCCCTGTATTGTCATTTGTTCACCTCAGCACGTGTGATTCTGAAACACAACACTGGAGAAACTTGTATGAAGAGCTCTATGCTAAAGTTAAACCATTTCAGGTAAGCAAAGAATTTTTTTCTCTTTTATTCATATATATATATATATATATATTTTAGAGGTGGAACAGTACATGTATTCGTATTGAACCGAAAGGTACGGGCGTCACCGTTCGGTGGATGCATTTACACGGAGAATACACGGTATAAAAATAAATAAAACTTGCGTGCAAATTAATTAATGTAATGCGGAACTACTGTTAGATAGGCGGGTTCTTTAGGGACACATAATCTGTAGCCCCGCCTAGGCGAGCTCCGCATATGCAGAGGACCCGCCGGCCTCTTTAAGATCGCAAGTTTGGGAAAACATCGGTTTCCCAGTCAGTTACAATTAATCAAACCAACAAGCTTCAATATTGGGTTACTCACTTGCGCGCGCGAAAGTGAGTATATACAGAAAAAAATTATTTATAATTCCGATGAGAATAAAGTTAGTGTTCATTTAAAATTAAGGAAAGCAAATATATTGATCTGAAATATAGCAAATTAAAGCTGCCGTCGGCAACATTTTTTTGATCATATTCAGTGAAATCGACACTATAATCTGACAGAACAACATAAATAAAGTGGTTTTAGAAAAAAACCCCAGCTTCTAACTCCACCTGGAGCGTGTTATTTGTTTTGCAAAAATCCACAGCTCCCGGTTCATCATGTCCAATCAGCGCAGGGGGGTGTGAGATCTGACTGTCAATCACAGATCGGGTACACGCCACCCTCGCGCCCGTTACAATCACACATGCACACGCCTGAAGTTCGCGGAAGTTCGCGCAGTAACGAAGAGTGATGGCGGAAAATCAAGTAAGCTCATTTAGAGTATAAATGACGTTAGCAATTGCAATCTATCGGTAGATTAGCCAGGACAGCATACCTCCAAATACTCCATGGTGTTGATGGATGCTGATGAGACGGGCGCGTTCACTGAAAATCTGGTGCACACGCAGTGACGAGGATGAACTCGGTGGGAGGGTATCCGTTGATAGTCGGGGAGGGGCATGAGAGTTGTAAACATTAAAAAATTTCCTAAATCCTCTCAATCTGCCAGACTTGCCGACTGCAGCTTTAACATTATGAATTAATAACATGTATAATAACAATAACATTATTATAATTACATTAATTACATGAATTACTCAAATATACTAATACACTAGGTGGTACAGCCTGAGACATGCACAATAAATAAATAAAAATTGCCTTCTGTATTTTTGTTTTGCTTTTCCCTCCATTGTACCGAACTCATACCGAACCGTGACTTCTGTGTACCGTTGCACCCCTAAAATATATATATATATACATATACACACTACTCTTTATTTTAAGGTGATGTAGTTTCATTGTAATTACTCAAATAAGTACAGAGTAATATTATTTGACACCATTTACTTACTATAGAGTTACGGTTAGGGTTTGGTTTATGGTTAGTTACTTGTAATTATGCTTAATCTTCTGTTGTTACTATTGTAACTATGTTACCTTAAAATAAAGTGTTGCCTTAGTTTTTATTTCATGTAACAGGCCATTTTTTTTTGGGCTGCTGTGCTTTCTAAGATGACTTTGCATGGGAAATGGGTAACAGCACTTTGCAATATTCACAAATGTGCTGTTAAGGTCACAGAAATGATTAGTGTCATTAATAAATATAAATTTCACCAACTTTTTCCAGACATGAATTCTCTCATTTGTCCTCTTTTTCTGGTCATCAGGAACAGCTGGACCGTTTTGCAGCGGAGAGGAACGCTTTGTTGAATGAGAAAGGATCCACGCAGGCGGAGTTGAACAAGTTAGCCGATGCCTATGCTAATCTGATGGGCCATCAAAACCAGCGACAGAAGATTAAACACATGGTCAAACTCAAAGAGGAGAACTTGGAGCTCAAACAAGTAAGGCATTATTCATAAGGCCGTTGTCATTGTTTGATTTGAAGGTTTTGGTGCGTAGCTGACCGTGTCCATGTGTTCTGTAGGAAGTGTCCAAGTTAAGGGCACAAGTGGGGAAACAGAAGCAAGAGCTGGATCGACTCAAGTCCAGCCAGGTGCCACAGAGGTTCGACCCCAGCAAGGCTTTCAAACATGAGCTCAAAGAAAACCAGCAGCCCAGCTCAGCTCTTACACAAGGTGAATTATGAAAAAGACCTGGATAGGGTTTGACCAGTTATTCGTAATTTCTTAAAGTCCCCATGAATTCAAAATTGACCATACTTACTTTGTTTGCCTAAATTGATCGTTTTGTGGTGAACAATTCATCATCCATGCAAGTCAATCCACACAAAAAAAAATTTGGCTTCGTAAGCTTTAATCAAAATCTGAAATTTCCCCTCCCCTCTGCATTGGAGGACCTTCCCTGATGACGTAGGTTTGACGGTTTGGGTGTCTTCTTAACATCCGTAATCACGCCCCTCCAACTGACAGTAGACAGGCTGAATGAAAACACCTACTTTTCTAGATCCAATCAGGTGCTAGTTGAGAAAAAAGCCACGCCCACCATTTTGCCTCATTTAGTATTCCGTTTCTCTCGGAAATACGTCACAACACTGGAGAAAAGTCGTTTGCAACTTCCGGTTCACGGGGACTTTAAATTGGAACATAAAGTCCATACTAGCAACTAGGGGTGGGTGATATGAGCGCAAATTCATATCACAATATTTTTCACTGTCCGGACGATATCGATATTATATTGCGATATGAGGGGGGGGGGGGGGGGGAGGATTGGAATTACATTTTAGTACACCTTAGTTTAATTACAGGCAAAATATGTATTTTAACCATATCTGGACGATATCGATATTATATTGCGATATGAGGGGGGAAAATTGGAATTACATTTTAGTACACCTTAGTTTAATTACAGGCAAAATATGTATTTTAACCATATATAACTAAAAAAAAGGTGAGGGATTTCATTGGACTTAGACCTGAAAAATCTTTTTTTTTTATTGTGCCATTGTTTTTCTCAAAAAGTGCAAACGTGCAATATGAGGTAGGCCTGAATGCACTTGTTATGTCTTTCCACTTTTTGCTCATCTTGTCATAACGAGTACCGGCAGCGAATTAAGACTTTATTCATTTCTGAGTGGGAGCCGTCTTTGGGCATGCTCCGTCTCCGGTAATATCTGTTGCACGCATTTGGGTGCATTCCTCATATTTGCGGACATGCATGGTTTACAAATGATTAAAGAGATTGCTGGTGTTTCCACCTTTGGCTGCAACAACACAGCGACACAACTTGCACAGTATTGTTCGTTGGTCGATGTCGGAGGTTTTGAACCCAAACCAGTTCCATACGACAGAGGAGCCCCCCTTCTTTTTAACCAATTCTTCCTCGTTCTCTTCAACATGACTTTCTGTGTGTTCTTTTCACAGTAGTCAACATTTGAAGTGAGAATAGGTAGCCTGGGAAAACCCAGACATCTTCCGGCAAATTTAGATTTGCTCTGAAAGTTAGTCTGGCAAAGAGCTCATTCAAGCCCATTTCCAATCCGTCGAAATCGAGGCACCAATCAGAAATGTTGGGGCGGCCTTTACACGATGACGACAGCGCTGGGATTTTGAAGCAGATTTTGTAGCCTACATTACAAAGATGGATGCCGCCGTCGAACATCACTCGTTCTAATCAGCTATCGCGTCCATTTTAAGCGATTTGAACGTTTCCTTTTTGTTAAAAACCTAGCAAAGAACAACACACAGAGATGTTTCTCCCCCCGCTCTGCATACGTCATCTCCTTCATCGCTCTGATTGGTTTTAGGTCTATCCGCGACGTCCGTTGGTGACGCCCCTCTGGAAATGATTTGTCTATGACACTTTGCCAGACCATAACTCAGTTACAACTGAGAATGGTCTGGTTTTAACCAGGCTAGACAATAAGCCAAGTTCAGATGACCTAAGAGACCGGATGGGCAGGTATGGGTGGAGTAGGTCTGATAGATATAGAGGTGCAAGACCCAGCCCTGAAGGTTAGCAGGACTACCATAAAATGAATACGTGATGTAACAGGTAACCAGTAAAGATCATGGAGGAGGGGAGTTGTGAGCACTACGTCTAGTCCAGGGCTGCGTTTCCCAAAAGCATCGTAAGCCTAAATTGATCGTAGAACAATTGCCACCAATGGTCTCTACGATCAACTTAGGCTTACGATGATTTTGGGAAGCGCAGCCCAGGTAAGCACTCTCGCAGCTGTATTTTTACATGCTATAGCCTTGTAGTGTGTGTGTGTGTGTGTGTGTGTTTTTTTTGTTTTGTTTGTTTAAGACAATTAACAAGGCGTTGCAGTAGTCCAAACGAGAAGTTAGTAGTGCATAAATGAGGGTTTATACATCAGCCAGATTGTGGAGACGTGCGATATAATGCAGGTGATAAAAATGTTTTTTAACAACTGAAGCAATATGAGAAACAAAGGAAAGAAAGAATCAAATAAAACCTCAAGACGTAGGTACAGGGGAGGAGTGTTTAACAAAAACCCCATGTATGTCAAAAGACAGGTCCATTCTATTTACAGGTACAGTGGAGCTGATCAGCATTATTTCATTTTTGCTGTCATTTAGTTTAAGAAAATTCAGAGACATCCAGTGTTTGATTTCTCTAATACATGCAGTGAGATAGTGAAAACGAAGTCCATACTTGCGGGTCACCAAGTGGCTGCATGTAGATGATAAAAAGTAACGGACCAAGAACTGAGCCCTGTGTCAGTGGAATTGTGCTGGACTTCTACTATGCATGGTGATATAGTACTTTCTATCAGTGAGATAAGAAATAAACCAGGAAAGAGCAGAACCACTGTTTCTGATATCAGAAAGACTGGAAATATGAATATCAAGACAATAGGCTAACTTGTATGTTCTTCTTATTACACATTTAAAATCTAATTCTGCTCTTTCCAGGCAACATCAAATTTCGTTAAACTATCACTAATGGACTTTTGTGGAATATCCCTTGCCTATGGATGACTGCTCAACATGGACACTGTGAACGAGGATATTTCAGCACCCAAACATCCTGACTGCCTCTTCGGAGTCTGACAATGTAGATTTTATTTATGTACGTTTTATTTTTGTTTGTGTGTGAATTTAATACAGTGGCATTAACATCGTTACTGTCACTCAATATCTATATATAATTGACAACCCCCTTTTTTAGATGTTGCTCTTGACTAATTTGACTACAATGGTGAAAATGTAGATATGGACTTACTCACTTAGGATTTTCTGTTATCTGATTTTGTTCATCACTGGGTGTGCTATTATCTTTAAAAAGTTCAATGTTTGCCCACTCTTTAAGTGTCCAACGAATCTTGTTCAGTTGATTTGTTCTTTTTTTTTTTAAGTAAATTTTAGTTCTTACAATATTATTTTATCATTTTAATAATTAGTTTTTTCTGCCACTAAGCTTAATGTCAAAACTATAGATGTCTTAGCTCTTTTAAAATAAAAACATTAAAATGTAATGTTTATACTTAATAAAATACTTGCTTTTCTCTCTCTTTGCTCTGTCATTGTGATATGTATGCCATAATTTTAACACTAGAAGGACATTGTATTACAATATCGTGCATTTCTCATCAGTTCGAGAGCTTAAAATCATGGATGTTCCAGTAGAGGGCGCTAGAACACAAGGCAAACCAGAACATGTTTCTCTCATTTAATGCTGCTTTTTGGAAGAACCTTTGTCATTTCTTCTACAAGCTTCCATTTAAAATGACAAGCAATCAAGCATGTTGTTCTTGTATGATCATTTATTAACCTCTTCAATCTTGACATGTTCAGCTGCAGTAGTCTTCAAGGTGGTAGATGGTGCAGGGCCTGTGGCAGCACCGTTCCACAATTCCTCTCTTCCTCTTCATCGCCTTCTCTTTTAATGGAGCAACCTCATAATCTGCCAAATTTGAGAGCAAGACTGGGAGAAGAAGTGGATGCTATTAATTCTTCAACTACATTTTTACACAAAAGCATAATAGGTCTTCTTTAATGAGTGTTGCTGTTTGAGCATGAAAAAGGTCTGAAAAGCTACAAAGCACGACATTCTCTGTATCAGTACTGTTTCTGAACTTCCTTGATTGTAGTCTTTGAGTTTTCTTACGGGAACATACACGTCACAATATTAATCATTTATTTAAAATTAATTGAATGGGCAAAAAAGGGGCGAGAGCTAGTGTGTAGAAACTAGAGGTTGGTAAAGGGGCCATATTTGAAACGCCTCTCGGGCATGGAAGTGATGCTCCTGAATGATCTTTTTGAATGGGGAAACAACATTTTCCAAAACTTTTCGCCAAGCTTACGATTAAATTTCATATTTGAAATCACTAATGAAATCTGACAACAACTGTCTCTTACATTTTGGTTCTTAACGCTCGAATCATGACAGAAAACGACATTTTTTTCAGGCTGGATCAAGCTAATGCGCATGCGCTGTGGAAGCGCGCGTATACGCACAACCGGCACATCCGGGAACTTAACTGTCAATTTCGTCCCCGCCCCTTTTTGGGCGAAAACAAACTAGACTTTCCATAGACTTCAATACAAAATAACGGCAAAAAACAACGTCCGTACACAGCCGGCAGGCGTAAATAACTTAAGAAATCAATTATATAAAACATATCAAGTAATTATATGTCCACCCTGTCTGCCATAGAGCTTGAAAGATACATACACAAACTTAATTTAAAACATGTCCCTTTATTCTCCCAGCGTCAAATTGGTGTAACAACCCCACCCAAAGGGGTTATATATTATAATGTATATTATAAGACATAATATATACATTTAAAGATGCTTACATTCAAAAACGAAGTAAAATCATTCACTGGCTTACCATGGTTACTCGATGAGGTACGACTACGAGTAAATGTCCGGGAAAGACACCTCTGGCCACTGGGTGGGGTTGTTACCATAGATAGACAGTAAAATAATTAATTATTAAAATAAATAATTTGAGGCTGGGAGAATGAAGGGACATGTTTTTAAATTGACCAAATTAAGTTTGTTGATGTATCGTTCACGCTCTATGGCAGACAGGGTGGACATATAATTACTTGACATGTTTAATCTTAGTGATTTCTTAAGTTATTCACGCCTGTCTGCTGTGTACGGACGTTGTTTTGTGACGCTATTTTGTATTGAAGTCTATGGGAAGGCTAGTTTATTTCCCACAAAAGTGGGCGTGAACCTTTTCAGAGACATTCTATGACGCAGCGCCGGTTGTGCGTATGACCAGAGAATGTATGACTGACTCCCGGAGCTTCAAATGCCGTGCACACCACACTGTGATTCGACGACTTTCCCATTCAAAAAAATGCCTGTGCAAAACAGTGCCTGTGGCTGCGTGTAGCGCGCGTACCCTGACGTGCACCTCTCCAAAAATGTAACAACGCGTCAATTTTACGCGTACCGCAAGCGCTGTGATTGGTCTGCTAGAACCGCTCCCCGGGTTTCACATGCTCCCTCTGCATGTGTAATAGGCTATATGCACGCATAAGTTCCGCATTTGACGCAAGGCTGCTCTTCAGTTTCCGGTTGGGGAGATTTAAAGCGGAAGAAAACCGAGGAAAACGGGATTATGGCAGAGTCTTCAAAATGTACTGTCCTCTCGTCTTTGAAACGAAACTTTAATACGTTTAGATGTAATTTTATATATAGTTATGTTTATTTAATATAATAAACAAAGAAGCATAAACAAGATGAGGGGTGTCTGTTTTGTTTGTTTTTGTGACTAACGTTACTTTAGTATAGCAATAGAGGATAAAAACCAATATACGATCGGCGGAAGTAATCCAGCATCCTTAATGCTGATTTATACTTCTGCTTGTCTTTGTTCATAGTGACCGGAACTAAACAGATCGTTAGTGACAATGTAAAATGTGTAAAAAAAGAAAAAGGTATTCTAGTAGACCCCAAAAACTAAATCATAATTGGTAAAAAACAAATATATAATAGGTCCTCTTTAAAACTAGTTTCATACTCTAGTCTATATATGTACATTACAGAGAGTCCTCCTCACCCAGCAAGTTATCCAGGTCCCTCCTGCCTCTGTTGGAGTAAAAGAATCCTTTAGGTCCACACACAAGGTAAAGCGCATCCACCAGGTTGGAGCCACACAGATGCTGTGATGGAGTAGAGAGTGATCCAGGCAGGGAGGCCAACAGCAGGATTATTGTTGCGGCCTGTAGCAACACCATGATGGGCAGAAGCTGGATATGTGCTGCCTGGAATGAATGTGTATATGAACGAAGAGCAGCCTGCTTTCTATTTTAATTTTAATAGTTAACACCTAAAAACTTCAAAATACATTTGGTTTCCCACTTACCTTTCCTGAGTGAGCACAGTCAATCAAGAGTGGTCAGAACTGGGATGGAAATGTGCTCCTTAAATAGCTTCCCATTGCCAGGCCCTCGCTCTTGATGGCATCAGCGGAAAAACAAAAGTTCCCATGTAATAACATGACTCCTTATGTCACCTTGCTAATAAGTATTACTGTAATGGGCTTTATTACGATCGGATTAAAATGTACAGGTATGGAGTGTGTACAGGTCAGGGCAGGAGTGTATTTCAGTGTATTTCATATATTTTCTTTGTTTTTCTTGCTGGATTGTTTAACTAAACAATCCAACAGGATGCAGGTCATTGTGGACAAATGAGAGCAGGAAATAGTTCTCAGAAGTGTTGTGAGTGTCAGGGATAAAAGTGGGAATTTTAAAAGCATGTGGAATCGGATTCCAGAGGTGTCTGAAGGGGCACAAGGCCCACTGAAAAAAAAAGTGTGAAGCTGCAGTTGAAGAGCATCAGCATCTTCACCTTTTAAGTTTCTTCAAATGTTAACACCAAGGGACCCACATGACCGGTCTAATGGGACCCCCTGAGGTAATTCAATGCCGTCTTTCACTTCTCCCTTCAACTGTGTGTTATGAGGCCATTATCATGGGGCGGTGAATAGAGCTTTAATCAGACTTTTAATGAATTACCATATTAACAGCAGGAAAGCAGGTCACCTTGAAGAGGAATATTTTAGAAATCACTTCGTATTTCTGCAGATTCATGTCAATTGTTCTTATTATATTATTATAATTAGCCTATATTATATTTTTATACTATGGTGAATAATACAAAATAAATATTCTAAAACCCCAAGTGAAAGGCACCTACTGTTAATAAGGATTGTTATTATTATTATCTACAAATGTAATATTTAATAATGATATTATACAATTAATAAAAATAAAATAATAGTAAATAATAAGTATAAGTATATAACCCTAATATTTGTATATATTATACAGTATTATTTTAGATATTATTTTGTTATGTTCAATATTATAAAATATATGCTGCAAATGAAAGAGAATGACTGTTCAAGATAAAATGAAAGACAACGGCTGTCTAATAATTTATTATTAAATAATAATGTTATAAACTAGTAAAATAATATAATATATGGATATAATATATAAATTCATGTAATGTATAGTAGGCCTAATAATAAATAAATAATTTATGTAATGGCCAATATACAGGTCCTTTTCAAAAAATTAGCATATTGTGATAAAGTTCATTATTTTCCATAATCTAATGATAAAAATTAAACTTTCATATATTTTAGATTCATTGCACACCAACTGAAATATTTCAGGTCTTTTATTGTTTTAAAGTCGGCATGAAATCAAATTTGACAAATCTTCTTTTTATATGTAATATTGTAGTGTTTATTATAAATGATTTATCTGTGCACTTCATTATTTTTTTATGTACCGTTATAATCTTTAATCAAATACATTACCCTTCCCTCCCCCCTCGAAACGACCTCTCTTCACTTTCGGTCACGTGCAATGGCGAAAGGGTGCGGCCAGAGCCGATGAGGGTGCGGCTATCGGTGCAACGCCTTTCAGAGAAGATACATTCAAATCTGCCTTCATTTTGTTTGCAACGCCCAACCTCCAACGATCCAATCAATTCCCGAAGGACGAAATCAAGCCCCGCCCTACATTTTTTTCTAATTTCAGAAGCCGTTTCACTCGGATATACGTCACAACAAGGAAAAAATGACAATCTCAACTTCCGTTTCATGCCGACTTTAATACTGATGATTTTGGCATACAGCTCATGAAAACCCCAAATTCCTGTCTCAAAAAATTAGCATATCATGAAAAGGGTCTCTAAACAAGCTATTAACCTAATCATCTGAATCAACTAATTAACTCTAAACACCTGCAAAAGATTCCTGAGGCTTTTAAAAACTCCCAGCCTGTTTCATTACTCAAAACCACAATCATGGGTAAGACTGCCGACCTGACTGCTGTCCAGAAGGCCATCATTGACACCCTCAAGCAAGAGGGTAAGACAGAAAGAAATTTCTGAACAAATAGGCTGTTCCCAGAGTGCTGTATCAAGGCACCTCAGTGGGAAGTCTGTGGGAAGGAAAAAGTGTGGCAAAAAAACGATGCACAACGAGAAGAGGTGACCGGACCCTGAGGAAGATTGTGGAGAAGGACCGATTCCAGACCTTGGGGGACCTGCGGAAGCAGTGGACTGAGTCTGGAGTAGAAACATCCAGAGCCACCGTGCACAGGCGTGTGCAGGAAATGGGCTACAGGTGCCGCATTCCCCAGGTCAAGCCACTTTTGAACCAGAAACAGCGGCAGAAGCGCCTGACCTGGGCTACAGAGAAGCAGCACTGGACTGTTGCTCAGTTTTGCATGTCATTCGGAAATCAAGGTGCCAGAGTCTGAGGAAGACTGGGGAGAAGGAAATGCCAAAATGCCTGAAGTCCAGTGTCAAGTACCCACAGTCAGTGATGGTCTGGGGTGCCATGTCAGCTGCTGGTGTTGGTGCACTGTGTTTTATCAAGGGCAGGGTCAATGCAGCTAGCTATCAGGAGATTTTGGAGCACTTCATGCTTCCATCTGCTGAAAAGCTTTATGGAGATGAAGATTTCATTTTTCAGCACGACCTGGCACCTGCTCACAGTGCCAAAACCACTGGTAAATGGTTTACTGACCATGGTATTACTGTGCTCAATTGGCCTGCCAACTCTCCTGACCTGAACCCCATAGAGAATCGGTGGGATATTGTGAAGAGAAAGTTGAGAGACGCAAGACCCAACACTCTGGATGAGCTTAAGGCCGCTATCGAAGCATCCTGGGCCATCATAACACCTCAGCAGTGTCACAGGCTGATTGCCTCCATGCCACGCCGCATTGAAGCAGTCATTTCTGCAAAAGGATTCCCGACCAAGTATTGACTATTGAGTGCATAACTGAACATAATTATTTGAAGGTTGACTCTTTTTTTTGTATTAAAAACACTTCTTTTATTGGTCGGATGAAATACGCTAATTTTTTGAGACAGGAATTTTGGGTTTTCATGAGCTGTATGCCAAAATCATCAGTATTAAAACAATAAAAGACCTGAAATATTTCAGTTGGTGTGCAATGAATCTAAAATATATGAAATTTTAATTTTCATCATTACATTACGGAAAATAATGAACTTTATCACAATATGCTAATTTTTTGTGAAGGACCTGTACTGCATGCGATGGTGCAAATGAAAGGTAGAATTTTCCAAATAAACATTTATTAATAATGAATATATATTTTATTATTCATATTTCATAATATTATCAAAATCCAATAATTGTTATGTCATTACTGATAACTATATATTTTTCTTTTTACATTTAACCGGCCTCATCAGACCATTTTAATGAATCAATTCAAACTTAGCATAGAAAGCATGCATAATGTTCACATTGGTAGAAACAAACAGCACTGACATGATGGCCTGAATCCTGTCCCTGTCTCACAGAGGAAGAGGAAGTAGTCGAAATATGCTCTCACTAAACCATAACAAGTGCATTTTATTTAAAACTGTCTCATTTCTTACGCACTGACAGGAGGAAAGCCAAAGTCCGATTCTGTTTTATAGAAAGAACATTTTGCCGTCCAGTCTGACTGCGGCGTGTTCTTCGTCGGGACACTGAGTCTGTCAGCCTGAAGCAATGACAGGCTCCCCTGACGTCTGCGCTCCCTGTCCAAGCAGTGACAGTCCGTAATTCAGCACTAACCTCTGCCGTGACCTACCCCTCGCCCTGCTATTCCACTCCCACTCTAAAACATGCCAGACTGGCGTTTGCACTTTCACTGTCCTTTTTTTTGTTGCAGATTTACGGTGGAATACTAAATTCAAGGAGGTGAGAGATCTACTGTGAAGCTGAAATCCGCACCAAAATAGCCTATCAAATTGAGTGTTTTTTTCTTCTTCTTTCTTTCAGGCCGCACACACATACTGTCCTGCTTATATCGGGAGATGATGAATGTTGCCACAGAATGATGGAGCTGAGTGAGAAGATGAGTTGACAGTTGAGAAAATGGCTAAATGTCTCAGATATGACAAATCCCCAAAGAATAAAACAACAAGCCCGAGGTACGTCTCTCTTTATCTCTTTGTAAAGAAAGAGGCATTTCTGAAGTGCTAGGTAATTGCCCTTTTAGTCCTCAGCTGCAAGGGAGAAAAATGGAATATGAACTGTTGGAATTGAGTTTTGTCTCATTTTCTTACTGCTGTGTCATCTTCAATGTGATCGATGCCGGTGTTAGTGGGCATATTTTCTCCCTGGAGATTGCTTTCAACATTCCTCCTATAAGCTATTCAACTATGATTCTTTTCTGCCATTAAGGAATATTTTCAGGAGCATTCTCTGCCAAACATACCCAGCAGTGAGCTTTATTCTGAGCATGATAACCTATTTGCAGTCTTTTCACCACTGGCCCTCTATGAACCCTTACCAGGAGATGTGTTTTGCGGTGCGGGTCAGAATTGAAAAGTTTTGTCAGGCCTCTTCAGAATGAAGATGTGCTGGAGTCTGCATGGTGAGATATGCAGTGTATCGATCAACCTGTGCTGGAAAGATGGGGTAATTTTCTGGGTTCAGCGTTGAGGAGTGGGGCAGACAGCAGGATTTTGGTATTATCGCAGTGCAAATGGAGAGTAGAACGAGAGGGGGGTTGGGGGGTGTTGCGTTTGGCAATGCAGGGAAGCAGACTGTAAAATGACAGTAGAGGTTAACCGTCTCCTCTGCATCCACCACACGGGTTAATCGATACACTCGGGTCGGGCTCCGGGGGTCTGCCGTACGGACGGTACTCGTGCTCTCAGAGATTAAACACGCTCAGAACTGCATATTAACAGTTTAACAGGCC